CTCAAAATTGATCTTTTTATCCCGAGTAATCGCGATAATAATTATTATAACATACCTATGATGATGTATAGCGCAAAGTGTACACAAGACAGCGGGCCAATATAAGTTTTGAAAAGCCCGCGCCCGCTAACTTTCTGATTGGTCAAGGCGCTGACGTCATAACCAATCAATCGAAGATAAAACTGCGCGAGCAATTTTTCTAAACTCATTTCAATCATTTTCAAACCATTTGTTTGTCAATTCTATGAGAAAATGGTACTCTCTGACCAGTCTACATCATCATAGGTATGTTATAAATCGTTTATGTCACTATCGTGGCACATATGCCCTCGGTTCTCAGAGATCAATGTCCCTCCCAAGGTCGGGCCATATATCACTGAGCCCTCGGGCATATATGCCACGATAGTGACATAACCTCTAATTAATCTATTTGACAACAATTTCGTTTCGCTGGTAGTTTAATTTTACGATCCGGGACACTCAGACGAACAGACACAATGACGGACATGCGGAAATGTCACTTTAGAGATTGGTAAGTGTAGCCTCATTTTACTCGTATAAATGAACATTTAACACAAAAATATTGTGTTAAATCGCTTGATGTTATGTGTTTTTATATCATTGTCAAGTATCAGTTGCACGTTATCGCGGAAAATGGTTTCGATGGATTCAGAACTTGCATCAAAGGAAAGAATAGTAAGGAGGTTAAACTCAATAACGGCCCCAAGAAAATTCCTAATAATAAAGAACGCCGTTATTGAGTTTAACGACGTTGAACTAGCATGGAGACCGTGAAGTGAGGATAACTTTTTAAAATTTCAAGGAGTAGGATTGCAAAGGAGACACATTTGTAAGACTCCAAAATTTCCACAAATCATCTTACCTTACCAAGGAACACTGAAGGAGCATTAAAATGTGTACTTCATGCATTGTTAGAGTATAATAAAGCTCAAACCAAAGTAAATTCTAAATATTTCATGTCCACCATTTTGTTTGCTGGGACTATTTTCTAGTCCAAAATAATCCTCACTCATGTATCCATTGTTTACATTTAAAAACATCAATTATGTATCTATCATGATTATTATACTGTTATATATAAAGTATACTAGATATAGTGATAATCCATGCCAATTGATGATTTGCGATCACCGAATGGATTCTGTCTTTTAGTGACGTCACAATTAGGTCACACAGCTTTAGATGCTTGATTTTGAGAGATTATCTTCTATATTTCGTGCTTTATTGATTTATTTTTCACGAAAGCGTTCTATTTGACTAGATCAACATTCATGCTAAGCACATACCAAGTCTAAGGTCTTACTGACATGATTTAGATAGCGGTTTAGCGCCCCCCGATTTTGACAAAAACGGGGGGCGCTTATAGGCATCGATGTTTAGTATGAATTTCACCCAAACTTCGCATATATATAGACATACTCATGATCTAGTCAAATAGGCATACCTGGTAAATATCCGACCCATGGTTTTTATATAAGAAACGACAATATTTTTAGCTCAAAACTGCCACGTGTCCGCCATTTCGTGATTCCATCATGTCTAATATCATTTCTTTATGACGTCATACCAATAAGACGAAATACGTGACAACAGTATCCATAAACAAAATTCCTGAATTGATGATTTGCGATCACCGAATGGATTCTATCTTGTAGTGACGTCACAATTAGGTCACCTAGCTCTAGCATTGCACAGAATTGGTCGAATAGCCGATAGATGTCATTCATTGATTAAACATGACGTCATATTTGAGATCTTAAGATAAATCTGACGTCATGACGTCAGTGCCATAGAAACTGAGATTGTCTTATTTTATTTTGACGTCATTCCAATGTAATGAACCAGTTATATCACCAAAAGTTATCATATTTTGTTTGAAATGCGCCGAAAAGTTAAAGGTATGAGGATTCTAATCTCAACGGAATCAAACAGATCTACCTTCAAAGTTACAGAAACCTGAGATGACTAAGATACCATATGATTTTAAGTACCTCTACCAGATCGTTGAATATCCTCATTTCACCATTTTGACGCCATTTCTAATGGATTTCAATGGAGTCATGCATGAATTCCTCATGATTTTTTCAAAACAAATTGGCCGAAAAGTGTGCATGTGTACATTGCTTAAAACATGTTAAATCAGTAAAGGTTGATGTCTAGTTATAGAAACCTGAGATGACTAAGGTGGCAAATCAATATCATTCGCACAGTAAGCGTTCGAAAAATGTCTCCATTATAAATCCCATAGGCTTTGGGAAACCGGAAGTAATGGGTCTGCGCATGCGCAGTGAAATATTGGACAAATTTTGTGCAATGGATGTTTGATTTTGAGAGATTATCTTCTATATTTCGTGCTTTATTGATTCATTTTTCATGAAAGCGCTCTATTTGACTAGATCAACATTCATGCTAAGCACATACCAAGTCTAAGATCTTACTGACATGATTTAGATAGCGGTTAAGCGCCCCCCGATTTTGACAAAAACGGGGGGCGCTAATAGGCATCGATGTTTAGTATGAATTTCACCCAAACTTCGCACATATATAGAAATAATCATGATCTTGTCAATGTGGCTTAACTGGTAAATATCCGACTCATGGTTTTCATAAAAGAAACGACAATATTTTAGCTCAAAACTGCCAAGTGTCCGCCATTTCGTGATTCCATCAGGTCTAATATCATTTCTATATGACGTCACACCAATAAGACGAAATACATGACAACAGTATCCATAAACAAAATTCCTGAATTCTGATCGCAAAAGGTCAATTCTGATCGCAAAAGGTCAATTGGTGAAGTCACAAAAACTTATATGAGGATTACAGGAAGTCTAGAAGTAGTTCCAGCAAGAAAAATGGTGGACATGAAATATTTATCAGAAACTATGGTTTGAGCTTTATCATACTCTAACAATGCAAGAAGAGCACATTTTCATGCTCCCTTGATGTTCCTTGGTAAGATAAGATGATTTGTGGAAATTTTGGATTCTTGCAAATGTTTGACTGTTGCAAGGCTACTCCTTCAAACTTTCAAAACTTAGCCTCATTTCACGGTCTTAATGTTAGCTTTGGGGATAGACTATATCCTATTTAGTCTGAATTATATTCAGACTATAAGGCACCTATGTTAAAGTTTGGTAATTCTAAATATTTGTTTACATAGGAAGTGCTATTCAAAATGGCCGATTGGGTAAAATTAATTTGCACATTTGTTACTTCGATTAGCTTTAGTTCCACTTGACAATATGCTGTGTTACTTTTTATTGCATTTAATTGTACCTTACTATTTAATTGAAATTTTGTAATGTTTTTTTTATTGAAAAAATGGTTGCTCCAATTGATAATTTTGTGCAAAAAATGTCACTGCAATTTCCACAGGAAAGTAGTACATCATAACAGACTGACTTCTAGTCAGTCTGTTGGATACATACTAGCTTTTGGGACCCATGCACCTCCAATTCATAGTTATAAAAATGCGTTTAAAAGTGAAGTTTTCTTTGACATGTCTCTTTAGTCAGGAAATGCATTCACATGTAAGGAAAACAGAATACAAAATCATGTGACTTAGTCAAAAATATATGGCTGCCATTTTTTGTACTTTTGATTAAGGTGCTATGGAAGTTAACAGGAAATGACAAAACAGGAAGTGACAATTTTTTTTGCATTTTTAGACATTTTTTGAACAAAGATAACAGAGTTGTGTTTTGACCTCCAGTCGATTCAACTAGTTCCAAATACCAATTACAGGTCCAGAATCACAATGTGCAGGGTCAGAATGACCCTAAACATGATGAAATAACCTTTTTAGCCCTTTGAAAGTGTGACTGAAAAAAGCTAAAAGTAGGAGCTAGGGAAGGTCACTGAACAGAATCTTTTGAATTTTTCAGAAAATGTGCCCAATATAATGCTCCAACTGATACAATCTTTGAAATTTTAGAAAATTGTCTTAAACAAAAATGAAAGTCACAAAAAGGAAAATAAATCAGTAAATAAATCAGTTTTTTTTCATTTTTTTTCTTTTTCCATGAATGATATCAAATTTTCAAAGATTGTATCATTTAGAGCAATATATTGGGCACATTTTCTGAAAAATTCAAAAGATTCTGTTCAGTGACCTTTCCTACCCTCCTACTTTTAGCTATTTTTCAGTCACATTTTCATAGGGCTGGAAACGTCATTTCATCATGTTTAGGGTCATTCTGACCATGAACATTGTGATCCTGGACCTGTAAATGGTATTTGGAACTAGTTGAATTGACTGGAGGTCAAAACAGAACTCTGTTATCTTTGCTCAAAAAATGTCTAAAAATGCAAAAAAAATTATCACTTCCTGTTTTGTCATTTCCTGTTAAGTTCCATAGGGTCAAGATTGCAGTAAAAAATTCCATTGACGACCATTATAACGTTTCATTTCATAATATATTCATGGGCACAGATCTAGCTCAGCGAAACATTGCCCAGTGTTCATTGGAGTCTTGTCTAGCTTGCCGTTACAAAATAAGCATACGGTGACCACACCGTTTTTGAGATAACTGAATCTGGAGAGAGCTACCACCGTAAAGCTACCTGTTTCAGAAAATTATTCTGCTCTACATAGTCTCAAAAATCACTCCGCCATCTATAAAAATTCTGTTTCTAACCAAACTTGCAAATGTTTCCTGATAGATTAGTACTTACCCTATCGAGAATAAACCTTGATTCATTTATCAAACACTAGATGGCGCTGCGACGGGACAGAAAAGGAGAAAAGCTTTTTTATACAGAAAACCAAAAAACCAACGGTAACCGCTAGTATCCCTACTCCGGACTATATTCATAGCACCTTAGTTAAAGGAGCAGTAAAACTGACTAAAGTTCAAGGCAGAACTCCTATATTGGTTCAAAAAAATCTCATGTTTTGTTTCACATTTCCTTTTTTTGTGTAAATTTATTACAACCATCCCCAGACCTTAAAAGTTTTGTACAATATCTCAACTTACCCCCATATCTTCTTTGAGAAAGATTCATGTTCAATCGTGTTTCTTTGCCCAAATCAATCTAGGAGTGGCTCTTGTCTATGCTGGTCTTGCGTTGTGCACTGTCACCAGTTTATGCCTAGATCACATTTGCTGCGAGTATTTTGTTCAAAACTCTATACGATTTTGAACAAAATACTCAATCACCCGGGCACCGGCCGAAATGTTTCCCAATGTTTATCGGGATGCTATTGGTTTACTTTTTCTCGGATGATGCATGTCTCGCGTTCGAGTTTCATTTATCGTTGCGCGTCGTCATTTTAAAGTGGGGAATTGAGTCTAAGGACGTGGTCAGGTTTTATCCTCAACACCAGAACTCCTGCTTTTTGCGGTTTCTTTCAGAACTCACTGTGTTAGGCAGATTTCAACCAATCATTTGGTACTTACTTATGTTTATTGGGATGCTATTGGTTCACTTTTTTCGGATGATGCGTGTGTCGCGTTCAAGTTTCATTTATCGTTGTGCATCGTCATTTCAATGTGGGGAACGGAGTTCAATCAATACTGTAGTTTACTTTGCAGGATCCATATGTGGGTTGTATATTGTTCAGTTCTAAATGATGTGTTCAGTAAAATAGACCTCACTATACCTTACAGTCTGTGGTACTATAAGTACTAACCAAAAAATTAAAAAGGCCTATTAGTTAAGGTCTCATGGAAGTTAACAGGAAGTGACAAAACAAAAAATGACAAAGCCATGCTGGATTTTGAAAATTTTTTGAACCAAGATAACAGAGTTCTGTTTGGACCTCCAGTCAGTTTAACTAGTTCCACATATCATTTATATGACCAGGAACACAGTTGAAATGGTCAGAATGACCATAAACATGATAGAATAACCTTTTCAGCCCTCTGAAAATGTGACTAAAAAATAGCTAAGAGTAGGTGCTCAGGAAAGGTCACTGAACAGAATATTTTGACTTTTTCAGAAAATGTGCCCAATATATTGCTCTAAATGATACAATTCAAAAAAATTTGATATCATTCTTAGAAAAAGAAAAAATTGAAAAAAACTGAATTGAAAATCGATCTATTTTCCTTTTTACTACAGCCATTATTGTTTCAGACGATTTTTTAAAATTTCAAAGATTGTGTCATTTAGAGCAATATATTGGACACATATTCTGAAAAAATCAAAAGATTCTGTTCATTGACCTTTCCTGAGCACCTACTTTTAGCTATTTTTCAGTCACATTTTCAGAGGGCTAAAAAGGTTATTTTATCATGTTTATGGTCATTCTGACCATTTCAATTGTGTTCCTGGTCATGTAAATGATATTTGGAACTAGTTAAACTGACTGGAGGTCCAAACAGAACTCTGTTATCTTGGTTCAAAAAATTTTCAAAATCCAGCATGGCTTTGTCATTTTTTGTTTTGTCATTTCCTGTTAACTTCCATGAGACCTTAAGTGGACATTCCTTGCCAGACCGTCTATCTTCGAATATGTAGCCATCTATAACCATATATATAATTTTCATGCTAAGCAAAACAACGAAAATGTTTTGATATGGTCAATATTAATCACGCAAGAATGTAGCGCTCAATTCCTGCAGATTGCCATCTTTTGAGATTTCCATGGCGTAGAATAATGGAAATAACGTCACAACGCATGCGAGTATATATTCAAGGGCAATCAAGTCGTTATGAACTTCACCGGATAACGTCCTGGTTGCTGATTTAAGGTTCAGCTGGAAAGTAACATTTTTGTAAAAAATTGCTATACCTGCACATGTTATTTTCTGGTACAAAATTAAGTATGAAGGCATGTGTATATTTCCTTGCTTTTTTCAGGAAAGTATGACCACATTGTCTACTTTTAGTAAACCTGGAAACAGGTAAATGGTAGCTCCTGTGTTATCTGGAAACCTTGAAAGATAATTTAAAAAAATAGAAAGTGTGAAATATCAGAATTTCCAGGAGTTCCCATTGAACTCCCACCAGGTATACTAAAAGAAGACAATGTAATGATACTTTCCTGAAAAAAGCAGGGGAATAATATGTGCAGGTATAGCATTTTTTATACCAAAATGCTATTTTCCAGCTGTACCTTAAGGGAACACTCATTCGATAATTGGAACCGCTTGTTAAATTCACTTTTATAAATTCACATTCATCAGGCTGTTTATGCAATGATGTGATGTCATGGGCCTTTGCATTCATGAGTTCCATTTTTGGCGGCCCTGTATGGTAGTGACGCCAAGCATGAATAAACTCATAGCACTTAGGCATCACTACTAAATATACTTATTCCCTGTCTCAAAGTAAAACAGGACGCATATGTGAGACAAATGCATTATATCCAGGAAAAGCACTCCTAGAGATGATAAAATAAATTGATTTGTGTTTTCCTGAGAATGTGTTTACATTTCTTTCAGATACGGCTTAACTACTACACACTTCGATTAGAATGAACAGAAAACTTATATAGAGTATCAATTATTTATTGTTACCATAACCTTTAGTTTACACATAGATTTTATGAAAAGAATGAAAATCATGAAAATATTAGAATGTTGAATGACCATAGGAGCGAATAAAGAATAGTCCCAAATGAGCCTTTGTTTTGATATGGGTATCTTCAAGAAGCATTGGCTCTCAGAGTGCTACATCGATATATTTGCCTTATATGGGCATGTCGTGATTACAAAATTCGAATTTAAACAGCCGCCATTTTGTTCACTTCAACATTTGAATCATGAATTTCGGTCTTATTTCTAAACGAAAAATTCCAGAACTCACAGGAAATGATCGAGATATTGGTTTGAATCTTTTGGTCTATTTTCTTAAAAATACATAGTCGGTCAAGGAGGATCGAAGCCAGGGTTCCAACTCGATATTCTTTAATCTCGAATTGATGCGGTAGTTTCCGATCCTGCCTGTAAATTCTTCTAATAGCCAATATTCTTGATTGTATTTTGTATTTATAACATGACTACGTGATACCCATAAATGGAACAGCCTCGGTTATGATTTCAGAAAATGACATTTCGATGTTTCTATTGGTGGAAAATATCAAGTTTCGATCCTGGGATCAAAGCCTTCTCGGTTTGGTTCATGCAGCGACACGCGGACTCAACAAAGAATGACAAATGTTTGTCTTGTTGACAAAATTTTTATTTGTCAACGGAAAAGAATGTGTCCCTTAGAAATATCTCAAAATTACAGTTACTATGGATCAACCTTCAATAATAATGAACACAATCTTAAAAAGAAAGCGAATAAACTACACCCAAATATTCATTGCTCTTTTGACGATCTGTAAAAATATGAACAAATCCGTAAAGCATAGCGATGGTCAATCCGTAAAACGTAGCTATGGTCACTGGGTCAAATGATGTTAAATATACACAGGATTAACGTAGGATCCATTATGCATTTATCGTAAACCACCAAAAGTCTCCATAAATGCACATCTCTGATTTAGATAAGTGCATATAAATCCTTCCCACGTATTTATCTCATATACCATTAGTAAATGCTAGTGCAAATCCGATATTGCATTTACATCACATCCAGAAAACATTAGTTACGTATTTATAATTTATTAATGTGGGTTATAAATACATTGAATGCATTTGTGAAGCATTAATACCGATCTAACACATGTTTCAACTTTGAACCAGTTATGTAATTAACTAACATAGGTAAATACATCAAGGTATTTATCAAATTGAGACACATTTAATGCAGATGAATTTAAGCATTTACTAGGGATTTAAATACATTCATCATAAATCCATGTCTAGGATTTATTGTATCATTGAGAGGCATCCGGTTGTTCCCAGGGGGGGGGGGGTGTCAATGGGGAAGGGATGATTTAATTTGATGCTAGCTTAGGGTAGATTTGTAGCAATGTTTGGCCTTTACAATTTTTAATGTTTAACAACACACAGACAGTTATCAAATGAATCATATAATTTATTAAAGATAAATTTTGAAACAAACATATTGTTGCGATACGTATCTCTGAGTTGTAGGCTAGAGTAGTGTCTCAACTGAATGCTTTTATACATTTCCCTTGAGTAGAACAATGTCTAAATAGATAATCCGGTCCTTGGATGATGCACCAAACTTTGTAATGTAAGGAATCTCAACTATTTGTTTGTCTTGTCCCTCATTCTTGTAAACTGCTTCTAAAGCTTTCTCCTATTCCCTATTTATGTGGCCTCTTTTGTTAGCTGCTTCCTGTTTTGACTTGTTCTTGCATTGATTGCAGAAAGCAATCTATATTGCTCACCTACAAATAAAAGTGTAAACAGCAATATTAGAAAATCAAGGTTAAAGGTTAATTCTGAGAATTCATCTGACGGCTGACGGATTGATATACTACTCATGACCATGAATAGGGCCTGCCATTATTCCATTCATACTAAGATTAATTTGCCATAAAAAAAAGTATGCAAAGGCGTCAGTCGGCAGTTGAATCCGCGAATGCTACCAAATACAACTGACTAGTATTCCACAAAACAAACCCACGGGACATTCGGGAATTCAACTTCCGGCTAACGAATAAAGAAGGTTAGATCGTCAGCCGTCAGCCGGAAGTTAAATTCGTGAAGTTAATCTTTAACAAAGTAATGAACCAACAAATTCAAAACGGAGTGAACTTGTTCAATATAATGCAATTTAAACTTACTCCTTACATTAGATATTGAATCTATATGGTGAGCCTTCCATCCCGTTGATGATCAAATCCATAAATTCCAATGGACACTACGACGCCAGCTCTATTCACGGGTTTGCGGTGTGTTGAGCTGTTCTGAGCATTTCATCATCAGTAGCATCAAATAACCTGGAACACAAACACAAGTGCTACACTTGTTATATTCTTTTATGGAAGGTTCTATCTTGGGTCAACCTAGGTTCTATCCTGTGTCAACATAGGTTCTATCTTGTGTCACAATTTAAAGGACTTGTTAAATTGTTTTATGAAAGGTTCTATCTTGTGTCGACCTAGGTTCTATCCTGTGTCAACATAGGTTCTATCTTGTGTCACAATTTAAAGTACTTGTTAAATTGTTTTATGAAAGGTTCTATCTTGTGTCGACCTAGGTTCTATCCTGTGTCAACATAGGTTCTATCTTGTGTCACAATGTAAAGTACTTGTTAAATTGTTTTATGAAAGGTTCTATCTTGTGTCGACCTAGGTTCTATCTTGTGTCAACATAGATTCTATCTTGTGTCACGATTTAAAGTACGTGTTAAATTGTTTTATGAAAGGTTCTATCTTGTGTCGACCTAGGTTCTATCTTGTGTCAACATAGGTTCTATCTTGTGTCACGATTTAAAGTACGTGTTATCTTGTTTTATGAAAGGTTTTATCTTGTGTCAGCCTAGGTTCTATCCTCTGTCAACATAGTTCTATCTTGTGGTACGATTCAAAGTACTTGTTATATTGTTTTATGAAAAGTTCTATCTTGTGTCAATCTAGGTTCTATCCTGTGTCAACATAGGTTCTATCTTGTGTCACAATTTAAGGTACCTGTTATATTGTTTTATGAAAGGTTCTATCTTGTGTCAACATAGGTTCTATCCTGTGTCAAAATAGGTTATATCTTGTGTAACGATTTAAAGTACTTATTATATTGTTTTATGAAAGGTTCTATCCTGTGTCAACATAGGTTCTATCTTGTGTCACAATTTAAAGTACCTGTTATATTGTTTTATGAAAGGTTCTATCTTGCGTCAACCTAGGTTCTATCCTGTGTCAAAATAGGTTATATCTTGTGTAACGATTTAAAGTACGTGTTAAATTGTTTTATGAAAGGTTCTATCTTGTGTCAACCTAGGTTCTATCCTGTGTCAACATAGGTTATATCTTGTGTCACGATTTAAAGTACGTGTTATATTGTTTTATGAAAGGTTCTATCTTGTGTCAACCTAAGTTCTATCCTGTGTCAACATAGGTTATATCTTGTGTCACGATTTAAAGTACGTGTTATATTGTTTTATGAAAGGTTCTATCTTGTGTCAACCTAGGTTCTATCCTGTGTCAACATAGGTTATATCTTGTGTCACGATTTAAAGTACGTGTTATATTGTTTTATGAAAGGTTCTATCTTGGGTCAACCTAGGTTCTATCCTGTGTCAACATAGGTTATATCTTGTGTCACGATTTAAAGTACTGTACTTGTTATATTGTTTTATGAAAGGTTCTATCTTGTTTTAACATAGGTTCTATCCTGTGTCAACATAGGTTATATCTTGTGTCACGATTTAAAGTACGTGTTCAATTGTTTTATGAAAGGTTCTATCTTGTGTCAACCTAGGTTCTATCCTGTGTCAACATAGGTTATATCTTGTGTCACGATTTAAAGTGCGTGTTATATTGTTTTATGAAAGGTTCTATCTTGTGTCAACCTAGGTTCTATCCTGTGTCAACATAGGTTATATCTTGTGTCACGATTTAAAGTACGTGTTACTAGTATATTGTTTTATGAAAGGTTCTATCTTGTGTCAACCTAGGTTCTATCCTGTGTCAACATAGGTTATATCTTGTGTCACGATTTAAAGTACGTGTTATATTGTTTTATATGAAAGGTTCTATCTTGTGTCAACCTAGGTTCTATCCTGTGTCAACATAGGTTATATCTTGTGTCACGATTTAAAGTACGTGTTATATTGTTTTATGAAAGGTTCTATCTTGGGTCAACCTAGGTTCTATCCTGTGTCAACATAGGTTATATCTTGTGTCACGATTTAAAGTACTGTACTTGTTATATTGTTTTATGAAAGGTTCTATCTTGTTTTAACATAGGTTCTATCCTGTGTCAACATAGGTTATATCTTGTGTCACGATTTAAAGTACGTGTTCAATTGTTTTATGAAAGGTTCTATCTTGTGTCAACCTAGGTTCTATCCTGTGTCAACATAGGTTATATCTTGTGTCACGATTTAAAGTGCGTGTTATATTGTTTTATGAAAGGTTCTATCTTGTGTCAACCTAGGTTCTATCCTGTGTCAACATAGGTTATATCTTGTGTCACGATTTAAAGTACGTGTTACTAGTATATTGTTTTATGAAAGGTTCTATCTTGTGTCAACCTAGGTTCTATCCTGTGTCAACATAGGTTATATCTTGTGTCACGATTTAAAGTACGTGTTATATTGTTTTATATGAAAGGTTCTATCTTGTGTCAACCTAGGTTCTATCCTGTGTCAACATAGGTTCTATCTTGTGTAACGATTTAAGATACTTGTTAAATTGTTTTATGAAACGTTCTATCTTGTATCAACTTAGGTTCTATCCTGTGTCAACATAGGTTTTATCTTGTGTCACGATTTAAAGTACTTGTTATATTGTTTTATGAAGGTTCTATCTTGTGTCAACCTAGGTTCTATCCTGTGTCAACATAGGTTCTATCTTGTGTCACGATTTAAAGTACTTGTTATATTGTTTCATGAAAGGTTCTATATTGTGACAAACTAGGTTTTATCCTGTGTCAACATAGGTTCTATCTTGTGTTACAATTTAAGGTATACTTATTAAATTGTATTATAAAAGGTGCTATCTTGTGTCAACCTAGGTTCTATCCTGTGTCAACATAAGTTCTATCTTGTGTTACGATTTAATAATACTCGTTAAATTGTTTTATGAAAGGTTCTATCTTGTGTCACCATAGTTTTGTCTTGAGTCACACTTTAAGGTACCTACAAAAACGCTTCATGAAAAGAATAATAAACTTCAATCCACTTTTTATAGAACAGTTTAATTCTGAAGATGGTAAAATACTTACTTTTTACAAAGCTGATGAAGATAAGTTCTATGCATACATCATTTCTCAAATCTTTTCATCATCGTATTTCGTAGAATCATGTTGATAGTTGGTATGTGACCGTTTGCAGAAATGAAATTTAAAAATCTTCAACAAGTCTCCCTATCTTAACTGACATTATTTCGAATCTTCATAAACATACGACTGTGTATACACTACAACTGTGACCTACTTGTAATCTGATCATCTATAATGATGTGCCGTAAATGCTCATCAGCGCATTAATGAACATCAGCACAGATTTTGATAAATGGTATGTTGTGTATTTACATAAATATGGTAAATGCAACTTTTTGTTGGATGCGCTCAGTCGATGATGTAACTTATTTATTTTCACCACAAATACGCCAACACATTAGCCACATTAATCTTAGTTTAATAAATCCCCATTGATGCACAGTAGTTCATTTATGTGTAAATGCCATTTTGTATATTTTAATGCATTTACCTCATTTATTGGTTACATTTACAAGAAAGCATTTACAGGATTTGAACAGATTTATCCTTTTTGACCCAGTGGGTCATATCTGTAATAGCAATAGTCATATCCGTAAATCATAGCCATGGTCATATCCGGAAATCATAGCAATGGTCATATCCGGAAATCATAGCAATGGTCATATCCGTAATAGCAATAGTCATCCGTAAATCATAGCCATGGTCATATCTGCAAATCATAGCAATTGTCATATCCGTAAAACATAGCTATGGTCATATCCGTACCGTAAAATATAGCAATGGTCATATCCATAAACATAGCGATGATCATATCCGTAAATCATAGCAATGGTCATATCCGTAAACATAGCGATGGTCATATCCGTAAAATATAACAATGGTCATATCCGTAAAACATAGCGATTTTCATATCCGTAAGACATAGCGATGATCAGTAAAACGAGCGATGGTCATTTCCGTAAAACATACCGATGGTCATATCAATAAAATACAGCAATGGTCATATCTGTAAAACATAGCAATGGTCATCCGTTAAACGTTGCGATGGTTATATCGGTAAAATATAGCAATGGTCATATCCGTTAAACGTTGCTATGGTTATATCCGCAAGACATAGCGATGGTCATATCCGTTAAACGTTGCGATGGTTATATCCGCAAGACATAGCGATGGTCATATCCGTAAAATATAGCAATGGTCATATCCGTAAAATATATATTCGTAAAATATAGTAATGGTCATATCCATATAATATAGCAATGGTTTATTCCTACAATAGCTGAAAAATAGTGATGGTTATAACCGTAAAACATAACAATGGTCATACTCGAAAAGCAATGGTTAAATCTTCGAAACATAGCAATGTGATGATCATTATCGGAGAGTGCGAGTTCTTTACCATAGATATTCAAAATGGAGGTCGAACTGGGTCGTTCTGGGTTATGATCAATATAGTCTTGATAGGTGTTCAAAATTGAGATCTGAATTCATATTAAGGATTTTTAAGCAAACAATAAAATATCGTGATAGCCATTATCAAAATGAGCATATCTGTCCGAAAGACCTATCCACCGTCCCCCGTTATTCTTCTTTATTACGACTAAACTACATGTACCGCTCTTGTCAATTCTATTAAAAACCTCGCTGGTATCGCGTGCCTGTTTTCGTCCCAACCAATTCTTTGTATAGGCATAACTACCAAGATTCAAACGCGGTTTTAATGCTGCACGGCCAATCTTCGATTTATTACTATCTACACTTGACGTGACAAAATTCCGACCGTCTTGGTCAAACATTCTATGCCCTCCACACATATTAGCAGTACTTGCCGTTCTTAGATTATACGCAACAAGAAACCAATCGCGCCAATAAAACTTCTGTGTTAGCATATTGTAGCCATCCGTAACAAACTTTTCATGACTCTGTCCATACATATCGGCAGAAAATTTCCTAATATCGACCCCAGCTTGTTCATAGTATTTGTCTCTGACAGCCCTGTCAATGGTTTCGTAGTTAGATTTCACCGTTTGAATTCTTGTATTCCATGTAGCCGTATTGGTTTCTGCAAGTGCTTCAAATCCATTCACATGGTAATAGGCAAGTTCGATTTCAACTGCCTGCAGTAGTAGGCGCAAAATACCAAGCAGGAAATCTTGTGTTTTCTTTCGGTCATTTGCAGTATATCGCATCACCGATCTGCCTAGATTTTCTTGAAATACGCCTTGGTTTTGTGTTATTGCCTGGTACAGTTTTAAGGCACTTAGCTGGTAGACGCTGTTGTAGTTCACGATAAAAATTTGTTTCGAATTTGCAGTTGGTGGCGTAGTGGTGTACAAAGTGATGTATTGTGAATGCATCGCATTGATATTTTGCTCTATTTGACCAAAGTTTACAGCCACTTTCGTCCAGTCAATCAAGCGTTCAATATCATTGAATCGGCTATCGACTTTATTGAATCGGTTGTCAATTTTTTTCATCATGTCCTTCATGTACGCCAATTCTGCCGAATCTGCTGATGGAATGAAGGCCAAAACAAAACCAAGGAATGGACCAAGTGCCCCAAGGAATGGCGCCGTTGATGCAGCTACCTTTGTCAGTGTCTTTGCAAAATCTTTTTGGTTTATATAATCGAGGATCTCTTTTCCGGCCTCAAAACCTCTATCCACGTATTCCTTTTCAGTTGTCTGTATGGTCTCAGTCTGTGGTAGCAAAGTCAAAATAATGACTATTTGTAGCCATACGCTTAGAGGCAAGCCTAAAATAAAACAAAAAGTGTCAATCAACAAATGGTAAGATTGTTAATTGTAGGCTAAGTACAATTCTATAAAGAAAGTATAGGGTCTGTCACATTTGAATGGGGTGGTTAGCAATGAAATACAAACGTCGAGATACTGAACAGATCGAACCTATGTAATTATCTTTATATTTATACATTTTACTGTTGTTCATCTGAAAGCTCTGTAAGTGATGTTTGAGATATATTCATACAGATGTAATGAGAGAATCATTCCTAAAACTTTGAAATCTATTTGTCAACTGATTTACCAGGAAACATGTAGATAAGACACTACAGAGTAGATTTTAGGATGGAAATCCAAACTTGCCACCTATAAATTTACCCAGAATGCAGAAAATGCTAAGAATCATCCGTGGAATTTTGATATTGATCCCTCAAACTGTTAACCTGAAAATGCAAAGACAAGAGTTTACAGGCAAGGTTTTAGGACGGAAAATCCAAAATGGTTGCCTTACATTCACCCATAATGCCTAAAAACAGTAACCAGTTCTAGATTTTCATACTAGGAAACATTTCTGAAAATTTGATATCGATTCGTCAAATGGCTTTCCTGAGAATGAGTAGACAAGACTTAACAGACACAATTTTCCGAAATGGCCATCGTAAAATTTACCCAGAATGGCGAAGAACTAATCAGTTCTAGATTTTCATAATAAGAATCATCAGTGAATATTTGAAATTGATTCTTCAAACGGTTAACCTCAAAACGTGTAGACAAAACTTTACAGACAAGATTTTAGGACGTAAAATACAAAATGGCTGATCAATTCCAGATTTTCTTTCTAAACATCATCCCTAAAAATTTGAAAATGAATCCGTTCAATGTTTATCCTGAAAATGAATAGACAAGACTTTACAGACACGATTTTAGGACGGAAAATCCAAAATGGCTGCTTTATCATTTACCCACTTTGCCGAAAAACTGATCAATTCGAGATTTTCTTTGTAAATATCACCCCTCAAAATTTGAAATCGATCCGTTTAATAGTTATCTTGAAAATGAGTAGACAAGACTTTTTTAACACGGAAAATCCCATATGTCTGCCTAAAAAATTACCAAGAACGTTCAAAAATTAACCAGTTCTAGATTTTCATACTAAAAATCATTCTTGGAAATTTGTATTTGATCCCTCGAATGATTACTGACAAGAAAATGCAAAGACAATACTTTGCAGACAAGAATTCAGGACGGAAAATCCCAAATAGCTGCCTTTTCATTTACCCAAAATGTCCAAAAACATATCAGTTCTAGATTTTTATACTGAAAATAATCCCTCAAAATTTGAAATCAATCCGTCAAATGGTTATCTTGAAAATGAGTAGACAAGACTTTACAGACACGATTTAAGGACGGCAAATTCAGTGTCTGCCTTGACCCGGATTGCCGAAATACTAATCAGTTCGAGAATTTCATACTATGAATCATTCCTGAAAATTTGAAATTGATCACTTGAAAATGCGTAGAGAAGACTTTAAGGACAAGATTTTAGGACAAAAAATGCAAAATGGCCAACACTAAAAAAGCAGGTATGAGTTTTTGCTGGTTTATTTTTAAAAAGATATCGCATACAATTACTGTTAACAGTAACATAGACTTTTACAACACAGGACACCTAAAATTATTTATAAAATTATTACATAGTTAAACTATGAAAACTCAAAAACACCATTTCAATATGATACAAAGTATTATTGCTCTCCAACTTTTCTTGATACATTCAAAATGGCTGCCATGACTGAGCTTACATGTCCAAAACCTGAACAGATGTAGAATGAAGTGAGTTAAACAAGATGTTAAAGTCTTAAAAATAACTGTGAAGCCGTTTTTCTTAAAGTTTGCAGACAAAGATTGACTACAAGATGGCCGACAGGAAGTAGGTATCGAATCGAAATTTTTTCAACCACATCTGTATGCCCTCATAGGTTATCCCTGGAAATTTGAAGGTGATATCGGTATCGGTTTTGGAGAAAACTGCCGGACGTAGGGACAGACGGACGGACGCGCCTAGGCAGACAATATGGCCCCACACTATGTGGAGGGACATAACATAAAAAGTTTGCACCCTAAGTGACATTATCGTGATATCATGTGATATCACATTTTCAAGAAATTTGAAAAAATTCTATGCCAATATAAATCTTTTCTAAATATGCTTAACTTTCATCATAAACCAACCCTGGGGAAAGGAATTGGACAGGCTATTTTTGTTAAAATTATAAATACCCTATCCATGTACTATGCCCGCATCGGGGAGGGGTGTCACACAAACATGTGAATGGTGTATAACAGCGACCATGAACTTGAATGGCGTATATTTTTTTGAAAATAAAAATAAAAAACGACTTTCAATGTGAAAACGTGCAGATAAGCAAATGCATACCAATACAATACAAAGCTGTCGATTACCTCTGCTCTAGTCTTTTACAAATTAATTAAATGATCAACTTTTTAATTATTTTCATAGGCATATCGAATGTGTTGAGAAAATATACCATTGTGAATCTTTGGCTTGGTAAAAGGTATGAAAACAAATTTTTTAGCAAAAACGGTTGATTTTGACATTTTTATTGCATTGCTCGAATCCTTCACTCAATCCTTAACATCCTTAATCATTGTCGATCTTTTTTCTACATAAGAAAGATGTACTAATGTATAACAAAATATGTGAAAATCAGATAGATTGACCGTCTGGTAATTTCTAGGAAAATATTTAACAAAGCTTTCAACGAGAAAATGCATTTAAAAAACAAAATTTGCACAATGCTTTAAAAAACGTATGGTCGTTCTATTCAAAAAAAAATTTATGAAAATTCATCGTATGGATATTGAGAAAAAAAACTTTGGATCATATTAACCGGTAAGGCAATATGATTATTTTATTGTATTTAATGACTCAAATTGCCAAATAAAGGTGTTATAACATCAGCATGAGTGTGTCTAATTTATAATTGTAGTTCAAACAAAAGAAAACAAAAATAAAAATTATTACCATCCCAAGGATTTGAACCCACTAACTCAGCGTGGAGGACCCTGCTGATTTCATTTGCGAGAACTGACCGCGCAGTGGACGCTGAAATACTGCGTTAAGTTTTTGCATGGACTGAAGGATTTTGTAGAATAAATAAACTTACCTCCTAATCTTCGAGAAAGCTTCATGTTCAGCCGTGCTGTGTGCTCCGGTCAATCTAGCAGTGGCTCTAGTCTCGGGTTATGCACCAATGTCAACCCAAGCATATGGACGAGGAGTTAAATACAATAAAATTTAAAAAAAAATACCCATTTGGCATCATGATTGAAACGTTGTTTTTATCCAGCTGCTTAAAACAAGTTAATAAATGCATGATAAGGTTTTCACAATCGTTATTATTCAAATGTATTATGCATATGGATTTGAAAATGCAGCCGGTCAGGGGCCGCCTGTTTAAATTAATTCCATAAAAAAGATGAGGGTGGCCTATCTAATATCAGAACACGCCTCAATTGCAATTAATTATGAGAGAGATGAAATTCGAATTTCTAGAAACATGACAATGTATTTACTCTATGATTGTTATTTTGACATCGTAAAAACATCTGAAAAGCATATTAGAACGCTACGTGCACGTGTTCGCTTAAAATGATTACACCATTTTTGTTGTCTGAACATTTTTTGTTAATTTCAGTTGTTGTTTCAGCTCTTTACTATTTACATAAAAATATCTCGCGAGACTTGCAAAAATCTGTTAAAGAGGTCTTTGTCTCGAGATTAATTCAAACAGTTGATAGTACGGTGGTGTCTTCGCTAAAACCGTCCGCACATTACCAATGTTTCGCTATGGCCCGGCACTTTCGGGTTACTTTTGTGGTTCCAATATTGCTTCCATTTTTACTAGCCCTATGGTTAACAGAAAAGTGGAAAATACTCCCTTTCACCAGAGTGACAGGTTTATTTACATTTAGCGTTTGATTCATTGACAGCTTTCCCATCCAAGGAGGATTGCAACCATTATTCAAACTCGATACTCCGTTGCCCGGCTTGATACAATTTAGTAAGAATATTTCAATAAAATTCTCTTTTGACCAAGTATTTCGTTGCAAGATGTACATTACAAATATTATGGTAATATTCAAGTTTCATTGGCAGTTCTTGTCTTCAAAATATGAGTAATATTTTTACCAAATTGGTCCGCGCCAGGCAATGGAGTAACGAGTCTGAATAACGGCTTCCAATCCTCTTTGCATAAGAATCAATTTAGAAGTATTTGAATTTACTTTGAATTATTAGAATATGATGTCCACCATATTTAAGTGCCTTTGGGGAAGCATCTAATTCCACATATCCGTAATGCTGCAATATTTTTTTATGGTAATGTTTTCAACATGAAAAAGAGTATTCATTCAGGCAATTTTATAATTTATTTCCATCCAGTCCAAGGGATGGGTTGAAAATACATTTTCAGCGAATCTAGGAAGACATTGAATGCGTTTTCCAGTATATATGAGCTGTTTGGAGTTGTATTTGGAGTCTAAGTTTGGAGTTGTTCAACATCACTTTTTGAATGAGAAATAATCTACTATTAACATATAACAATGCAGGTACCATCGGTGTTATTCGATGGTGTATATGTATTAGCTAATATATTTTGTGCACTGTCCTGTTGTTTCAGTAATCATTTTAATCTTTTATAAACTTCTTTCCGTTCGTTTAATCGATGCAATCGACAATTGCGCACTTCCTTATCGCGCTCTAACTGGTTGGTGAGTATGCCATATTCCGCAGGTGAATCTGCCATACACCGCGAGTGAATATGCCATATTCGTCGTTGCCGAATATATGACGTACATTCCCCTCAATAAGTTTGGCAACCTTAGCTCCCCATTAAACTACGACCTCTTTACGTTTTATTTGCTTACCCTGAGATAAAATAACGCAAATTGACTTTATTCCCAATACTTCCAAATTTTCTCAATTTATTCTTCAATAACGATAGCTCGGAAATTGATGCTAAATATGGAATTTTAAATTTCGACATTCCCATGATAACAAATGGGAAATGGTAGATTTGACGCAAGTCATTTGACAGAATATCCATCGATCCGAATCCTTGCAAAAAGTACAAGTTTGGTAGGCAATTGAATTTCCCTACTTAATTTAACAAGAAATTGAGACGTTTCTTCAGGTTCAACAAAGTTATATGTCTTTAAAGTCAAAATTGTTTTTCAAAAAACCTCTCCCATTGAAGTAACACAGGAGGCGAAAAATGATTTTCAAAAATGACTTTGAAGCTCTCACACTTTAGTATTTACCAGGTAAACTAAACACTTAGTGTACAAAAAAATTAGACAATTCAATTTTCTTTATAATTTTTTTTTGCTGAATCTTTTACTGAATAGATATCTTGATTTCCGATTTGTTAAACGTAAAGAGGCTTTAATTCGTAGTTCAATGGGGGAGCTAAGGTTGCCAAACTTATGGAGGGGAGTGCATTTTAGTATTACGTTTACGGCATAACATCAACCATCTATTGCGCCCATATTGAACGGTTGCAATGCCAAAATCCAGGGTTAAAACTAGATCACACATTCAACTTATTCATGAACATGTAAATGCTACTCTAATGGATTCCTTGAAGTCCACTTAACGTAAGGAAGTAAAGAGAATGTCAACACTGGTACTGACGCAAACGTCTAGCAAACTGGCAAATGAAAATTTCCAACATAAATTTTATCTAGCTTTTATTATTCAGATACGGCTACTGTTCCATTATCTTTTACGGGTACTATTAGCATTAGTCCAGGCATTAATCCATCTAGCTAGATGATATGAAGATAATTTGCATCACACAAAATGCATAATGTGGGCCATTATGTTTCGAGTATGAAAAACCTGATAACAAAAAAGGTATCTATTAATTTCAAATGCCTGGATCGAGAAAAACCTACAATGTACTTTTAGTTATTTTTTCAAATAGCAAAACGTGTGAATCAAAAATATGAACATTTACCAGTTCTTCGAAAAGTCTTTCAAACAGTAAATTAGTCAAAAATAGGCTTGAACGCATAGCCAACCGGGGGGGGGGCGACTCTTGGAGGGGAGTGTACGTAAAAAAAGAAGATATGAATTCCCTTTAACAAGGTTTTTATCACCAGTGATCCGCTCGATTACGCTGGTTACCGAAGTGGCTCGTTTCGGTAACAAAATGTCGAACCTCCAAGGTACGATTTTTTCCTTATTTCACGCGTTGTAGACAGAATTCCCACGGTATCAGAGACGTTTGTCAGTATCATCATATGTTAAAAATGTACATGTTTTCGAAAAAATAGTTCTGAAGACATGTACAACAGAATGGCCGATTTAATACCTCACTTTTGTTACGTAAAAGGTTAATATCTGCACTTTAAACTCGTTCCGTTTACGTAACAATAGTGGTTTCGGTAACCAGCGAAATCGAGTGGATCACCAGTGTACATACTCCTCCATAAGTTTGGCATTCTTTGTAGATTTTTGTGTGATCAACATTTCAAAGTTGAAATTTGACAACACGTTTTTCTATATAACTTCGCTAATATAAGATGAAAGTCATAAAATCTTGGCATCATGTTTGTCTTTTCAAAACTATAAATAAACAATAAAATATCATTGCATTCGTATGATAAGGTTTTCGGAACCATTATTATTCAAATCTTTTATGAGTATAGATTTGGGAATGCATAAAAAAGATGAGGGTGGCTTATCTATTAAAGGTAATTAATAACAGAAAACTACCAGCAACTAATAGAGAGATTAAGTTATTCGAATTTCGAAATACATGACCATTTACTAGTATTGCTCATTTTGATATAAAAAAAAACAACGCAATTATAGTGATCTACTAAGAGTCTGCTTGTGTAAAATTGTTACACTATTTTGCTTCTCTAAAAATTCTATGGAATTTACTAAATCTGACGGTTCATACTGCATACATAACATATCTTTCTTTTTTATATATTTTTTTATTTCAAAGAATAAGCATGTTAAAGCAATTGCAAGAAACAATTACAATACAGTTACATGGTAAACATACATCTTACAATTTAACAATACAGTATTGGTTAAACGTTAGTCTTTAAGAGATAACTTATACCATTGGCAGTTTTTTTTTATTTAAAGGAAAAAATCATCAGTATTATTTATTTAATTTGTCCATAATAAAATATTACATAACATATCTTATCGATATGCACATATATGTATGTTGAACAGGCGAAGTCTCGAGAGTTATCCAAAGTGGAAAACGACATTGTTTATCAAACGATCCATCGAAGAAATTTGGACTGATACGTTTCTTAATCCAAAATTTCAGAAAATCAACCACATATACCATGCTCAAGAACATAGACGGTATTTCATCAAATGTCTCAATTCGTTATGCAAAAATTAAAAGGGAATTGCACAGAAAATAACTTTACAAATTATTTAACAATTTTCATAGTGCATTCATAGGTATCGAGCAAGATGTAATAATTGGAGTGTCGTCAGCGTATACTGGGCATGAGCTATCCATCCCGCCATAGTGCTCCAACATTAAACGATTGAATTTCTGGGCTATTAAAAGGACTAACGGACGGTAGGACGCCTGGTCGAACACATAGGCTCACTGTGTGAGCCAACTATGAGATCTTTGAAACAGTAAATTCATCAAGAACATGGCCAAGAACGTTTGAACACATAGACCTAGTAAGGGGTTGGGTTATTGGACCTTTTGAGTGTACGTATAGTAAATCACATAGCAATAGACTCTTTTTAACAAATATATTTCAGGTCCCTGTTAAGTTTTATGTAATATAAAGGGATTTATTACAAAAAACAAAACACTACAATGAAAATGACTAGCTTCTATGTTCCTATAACCAAAATGTTTATAGATATGGGATACTCTTGTGTATATGCTTCGAAAACTTCGAAAACAATGTTACCGAACAATTGTAAGTTCGGGATTATAAGTGATTCCAGTAGGTCTGGGAGTGTCAACCTGTACAGCAAGCACCACTTTGCTAATCTTTGCAACCTCTTTCTCGATAAGCCTACCAATCTGAGACTTTTTAATCCGCCTCAGTGTTCTCACGAGATCTCCAACGTTGGCCCCGAGATTTAGTTTACGCCATCTTTCGAGACTTCTCCGAGCTAATTCCTCTGGTGGAACTTCGAAATTCCGAGTGTTCATGAGACCAATAACTGAAAAAGCAATGGCTGCTAAATAATAATGTCATTAAGATCTGAGACTAACATAAAATGTTATGTTAGTCTCAGTTTAGATGTATACATTGATGTTCAAACAAATTGACTATCTCGATAATAGTAATTCCGTTCAAAAATATGTTGGATGATTAAAAAAAGTCCCTCGTATCAATTGCATGCAGTTCACTTCTTTATTCAGCTCTTCAAGTAGTAATGTTTTAAAACATGTTCTGCCATAGTTGTATTTAATCAGAGTCAGAGCCATATTCGACGTGAAGAACTTGTTGTTCGTTAAAATTACAGGAGGCGAAATTTTACATAAATCTATTTCTGAACGCTTTTTCAAAAAAATTGATGAAATGAAGTCCAAATGTAGCAATTGACCTCTTCAGTCTAAAGGTCGCCTGCAACCTTCTGTCTCACTATGTCTTGGTACTTACATTCTATGTCTTGGTACTTACATTCTATGTCTTGGTACTTACATTCTATGTCTTGGTACTTACATTATATGTCTTGGTACTTACATTATATGTCTTGGTACTTACATTCTATGTCTTGGTACTTACATTATATACTGGATGAGCGTGGTGTAAAAGTGGTTTTGAAAAGTAGCAAATTTCTCTTCATATAGGTTATTTGTGGTTTATTATTATACATTGATTCTGAAATTATTGGTGTCTAGTTTTTCAGCGTTTAGGAAATATTCAGATTTATACCCCCTTGGTTTAATTTTAAGGGGGGTACTTGGAAAGCCGTATATCATTCCTAGAATATAGAGTCAATCATCTTGATTTTTCCAGGTAATCATGTACTTATCATGTCCTACCATTATGACAAGTTTCATTAAAGTTTGATCAACTGGTTGCTATAGAAATGGAGATCATATGTTAAAAAGTATACATTTTCGTCAAAATGTAAGATACCCCATGAGACAAAACAAATATTATTTTCATGAAATTGGAAGGAATCACCATGAAACCATTTTAGAAAACTTATTCAAAGTATATTTGATAATATTAAATCAACTGCTGTTTTATCTTATCCACACAGAGGAATCTATTGCTGATGATTATATGGCAATGCAAGTAAATTTAGAAAGGGGATGTGGCACTTTTCCAAAGAATTCTTTATTTGTGTTCAACTTTTTGAGGAAAATAAGTAACCATTTGTCCTGAAATTAACAGATATTATTCACATTATTATGTTTGACTATCATGGAAAAATTCATCAGTGTTGGATAACTGCTTACTATGGTAAACAGATTTATACCCCATTGGTATGATTTTAAGGGGGGGGGGTACAATGGAAGCCATCTATAATTCTTAGAATATACAGCCATTCATCTTGATATTTACAGGTAATCATCTACTTATAATGCACTACCACTATGACAATTTTCATTAATGTTTAACACTTGGTAGCTATGGTAACAGAAATAATTTATTAAAAAATACACATTAAGGAGATACTATGTATAATTCCTGGAATATTCAATTAATCATCTTGATATTTATGGGTAATCATCTGCTTATCATGTCTTACCAGTATGACAAGTGCCATCAATGTTGGTCAATTGGTTGCTATGGTAACAGAAATCATTTCTTAAAAATTGCACATCAAGGGGGTACTATGTATAATTCCCAGAATATTTAATCAATCATCTTGATATTTACAGGTAATCATCTGCTTATCATGTCCTACCAGTATGACAAGTGCCATCAATGTTGGTCAATTGGTTGCTCTGGTAACAGAAATAATTTGTTAAAAATTGCACATTAAAGGGATACTATGAAAGCCATGTATAATTCCTAGAATATTCAATCAATCATCTTGATATTTACGGGTAATCATCCGTTTACATGTCCTACCAGTATAACAAGTGCCTCGGTGTTGGTTATTTGGTTGCTATGGTAACAGAAATCATTTGTTAAAAGAGTACACATTTTCGTAAAAATCTAAGACTCATGTAACCTTTGACATTAAGCACATAATATGTTCATCATTTTGGGAGAAATAAGCATGGAAACATTTCATAAAACTTATCACATCTCATCAATCACAACAGTGGACGCTTTATTGCCATCACTGGTCATCAACATGTTACGCGGTAAACACGATACAAAAATATGTCATATTCCGCAACGAATATGGCATATTCACTTGCGGTGTATGACAGATTCACCTGCGGTATATGGCATACACACTAACCAATGAGAAGGTGATACGGAAGTGCGCAATTGTCAATCGCATCGATTGAACGAACAAGTAAAACGTTATAAATTATTATAGTGATTACTGAATCAACAGAACTGTGTATCGAATATATTAACTTAGCAGAAGTATCAATCACCAATCTCGCGTAATAAATTTACTCAATCAACCCAGGATTCATATATTAGTACTCGACGCACTAACTATACAGTGCGTCCCAAAAAAAACGCAACAAGCAAAATCATTGTTAAACCACAAAACCAGTGATAATTACATTGATTTCATCCAGTTATTCATAAAGCCACATTTCTCCCCTTTCCAATGGTATATCATTTGTTCATATGTGACCGTGGACCACTGAGTAATCATTGTTTTTTCATGCATGGGTAAAAAGGCCTTTGAGCCAAGTTATGAAATATCCTCTATCAACTGATCCTTATTGTGCAATCAAGTAAACCATTATGTAATTGTGGATGGGGATTAAAAATCAAAAACATAAGTGTCAGACTTAGTTTTAATTTTAATTTAGTCTTGTGCCTTAATTTACTGACTTAACTATGAACACTTAACTGTTGATGCAATTCATTTTCCAAAAGCTACTGGTCATAGCACTGATTTTTGTAATGTCTAAAACTTGGTCCAGAGCAGACTTTGAGCCATTGTGCAAAAGGAATGATTATTCAGTGGTCCATGGTCGATTATGAATAAATTACATATCATTGGAAAGAGGTGATATGTGGCTTCGTGGTTAACTAAATGAAATTAATGTAGACATCACTGGTTTTGAGGTTTTACAATGTTATTGCTTGTTGCGTTTTTTTGGGACAACCATTTAAATCAAGGCTTTCTGTATCACGTTTTCACCTGCAGTATATGTCATATTCACCTGTGGTGTATGGCATATTCCGCAAGTGAGTATGACATATTCCGCAAGTGAGTATCGGGTATTCACTGAAATCAATGTATCGCATATTCACTGCGGAATATCGCATACTCACCTGCGGAATATGCCATATACCGCAGGTGGTTATGGCATATTCACCCGTATCACAATTACCGCGCAACCCTGAATGTATGCCATATACCGCGTAACACAACAGACATGTTTTACACTCAGAGTAATACATGCTGTTGTTCTCAACTTTTTTTATGTCTGATGGTTTTTTTCAACTGTTCATTGTTTTTAGAATTCATTAAGAAGCATTTCCAGTATTTTTAATTGGGTGTAATAGTTGTATCTATCTCTTAGTTTGTTTATTACAAGTGACGTGGTAACTTGTTGATTGCAAAATAGAGCCAAATTGGCCAGACCAACCCATTCCACCTGATGATCTCATAGACATATAGTCACATAAAGATTGCAACGGATGCTTTGACAGAGGTAGACGTTGAAAGATCTATGAATGAGGATTTTGATGCAAATGATATAAAAGATGACTAAGTGAGATCAGCTCATAATTTACTATGTCCCTACGCATAATGTGACAGCCGCATTCTGCATAGTTTTATTATCATAAGCAAATACAATATATCAAATGGCCCAGAAGAAATATCCATTGATTAAATATTATCAGACATACTCAAAATAGGTTTTTAAAAATGTTTTCATGCTAATTCCTCCTAATTTGATGAAGATTTTCAATGTCTTAGGGTGTGTCTTAAAATTTTACGAAATGTGTACTTTTTTAACAAATAGATTTCTACCCACATTTGACCGACATTGATGAAACTTGTCATCATGGTAGGACATGATAAGTAGTAGATTGTCTGTAAATATCATAATGATTATTTTGATATTTAAGGAATTATAAATGGCTTTCATAGTACGTCCTAATGTGTACTTTTTAACAAATGAGTTATGTTACCATAGCAACCATTTGCCCTGCATTTATGAACTTTGTCATAGTGGAAGAACATGGTGAGTAGATAACTACCTGCCAATAACAAGATGATTGGTTAGATATTCTAGGAATTATATATGGCTTTCATAGTAACTCCCTTAATGTGTACTTTTGAAAAAATGATTTATGTTTCCATAGCAACCAATTGATACACATTGATGAAAATTGTCATGGTTGTAAGACATGATATGTAGACATTTACCTGTAAATATCAAGATGATTGGCTGTATATTCTAGGAATTATAGATGGCTTTCATTGTACCCCCATTAAAAATCATACCAAGGGGTATAAATCTGCATAGTATAGTAACCAGTAAACCAACACTGATGAAACTTTCCATGATAGTCAGACATAATGATGTGAATAATATCTGTAAATAACAGGACAATTGGTTATTTATTTTCTTCAAAAGTTTGGACACAAGTTAAGAATTCTTTGGAAAAGTGCCACGTCCCCTTTCTAAATTAATTTGCATGGACATTAAAGGATCTTTTGGACTATGCAAAATACCAGCTGCAATCTATGCAACAGGCAGAGGACATCTCCAGCAAGGATATTAATCGTATTATCCAGAAACCCTCATCAAATGGACCAACCAAACACCATCAAACCAAAACACCACTTGATTTAATATTATCAAACATACTCTGAATAAGTTTTCTAAAATGTTTTTATGGTGTTTCTTTCCAATTTCATTAAAATAATGTGTGTTTTGTCTCATGGGGTGTCTTACATTTTGACGAAATTGTGTACTTTTTGACATATGATCTCCGTTTCCATAGCAACCAGTTGACTAACTTTTGTAGTACATGATAAGTACATGATTACCTGTAAATATCAAAATGATTGGTTGTAAATTCTAGGAATTTTACATGGCCTTCCTAGTACCCCCCTCAAAATCAAACAAGGGGGCTATAAATCTGAATATTTCCAAAACGCTGAAAAACTAGACACCAGTATTTTCAGAATCAATGTAGAATCATGAACCACAAATAACCTACATAAAGAGAAATTTGCTACTTTTCAAAACCACTTTTACACCACGCTCATCCAGTAATATGTCTTGGTACTTACATTCTATATCTTGGTACTTATATTCTATGTCTTGGTACTTACATTCTGGGTACTTACATTATATGTCTTGGTACTTACATTCTATGTCTTGGTACTTACATTATATGTCTTGGTACTTACATTATATGTCTTGGTACTTACATTCTATATCTTGTACGTACATTCTATATCTTGGTACTTACATTCTATGCCTTGGTACCTACATTCTATATCTTGGTACTTACATTCTATGTCTTGGTACTTACATTCTATGTCTTGGTTCTTACATTCTATGTCTCGGTACTTACATTCTATATCTTAGTACTTACATTCTATGTCTTGGTACTTACATTCTATATCTTGGTACTTACATTCTATATCTTGCTACTTACATTCTATGTCTTGGTACCTACATTCTATATCTTGGTACTTACATTCTATGTCTTGGTACTTACATTCTATATCTTGGTACTTACATTCTATGTCTTGGTACTTACATTCTATGTCTTGGTACATACATTCTATATCTTGGTACTTACATTCTATGTCTTGGTACTTACATTCTATGTCTTGGTACTTACATTCTATGTCTTGGTACTTACATTCTATATCTTGGTACTTACATTCTATGTCTTGGTACTTACATTCGATATCTTGGTTCCTGTCACGATAGCTTCGAGGCGGGTTGAAGGGAAGGCGTTGGTACAAATACTTCCATTCTGTCTTGATGTGTGATGCTGCAAGTTTAATGGCCTCGTCTAGTTCGTCTAAAAAAGAACAATATAGAGGTTAAGCTGATTACTGCCCCCCTCCCTCCAAATTGGAAATCTTATCAAATGATTTGAGTAATGGACGTGTCTTTCGATGCACTAACAATGCGATATCACTGCTATGTAATGACTCATAAGCTAAGATGTATTACTACTGATTCAATTCAGTTAATCATGATTAATCAGTATTGATATATTTCAATAAGCACTGTAATACTCATGCCATTATATGAGCTATTCTCGGAAATAGCGCCATATGTTCATCCTCCGACCAAATACAAAATCAAGAGTGTCCTATTCTTACAAGTGATTTCTAGAGTCTTGAGTTCTGAGGATGACACAGAACAAAGGTATTACACGAAGCATATGAACATAGTTTAAGGGCGTAGCCAGAACTAAAAATAGGCGATGTAAATTGAAATAGGCAATGAAAGTATGAGTTGCCTGGTTACGCCTATGTAGTTGTATACTATACAATACCTTTAAATTCCACGTATTGGCCGGGGTGATAACCCTGTGAATGGATCTTCTTTAGGAACATTGGATCCATTTTCATCTGACGTATCCGTTTCAAAGTCACTACCTTAGAATCCATCAGTTTAATGTTCTCTTGCAAGTCTTTTATTGAATCCTCATTTGCCTCTAGGGATATTCTAAGGCTTTCATTGCGCTCCACGTTACCCTCGTGGTGGTATTTCATCAAGTGGACAGATCGTTTGAGCTGCCCACCGTCCTTTTTGAGTTTCACCAACTGGTTGTTTACTGTGTTTAATTTCTTTTGGTATATTTCAATGTCGGATTTCAATTTCTTTACCATATCATACGCAGCATTAAGTTTGCTTATATCCAGACTTCTCTTTTTCATATTAGTCAAATTTTCCTGTAATTCTCGTTTCATTCGTTCCAGTTTACTTTCGATATTTCGCCCTTCATCCGTAAGTGTCTGTTCCCGCTTTTTAAAGTAACGTTTTTCGTCTTTATTGTCTGAAAGTTTGCGTTCGACTTTAGCATTCTGAAACGTTTTTCGTTGCACATTTGCCCTCAAGAGGTCCTTTGTGAACTTTACCTGCCTTAAACGTTCCTTCAAGTCAACTTTCTGCCTTCTTAGCCCTGCTATCTCATCATCAATTCTACGAGGATAGTTATAATCCGCGGTTATCCACTTTTTTGTTGGTTCAACCAATCGGAAAATCCTTGCCGTGGATTCTCGCATCCAATAGGCAATTTTGTCATAGTTCTTAATATATTCCTTTACGTTCTCAACCAAATCGTTGTAACTCTCTTCCATCGTGTTGATATCCTCAAAAGCATCAAAAATCTGTTTCCTCCACATTGTTATTTTGTTCTCATAATCCAATGAGAGATCGACTCCTTGACAGTCTTTGGTTTCTGCTGAGAAACTCAAACAGTATCGGGCTAGAAGGTTTTCGCATGCATCGTGAATGTGACGCTTCAGAATACCAATCAGGTGATTTTCATAGGAATCAGCTCGTTCACACATTCTCAAAAGTTCTCTAAAAGGTGGCAGCACTCTTACCTCTTCATATTCATCTTTGTTGTAAGCGTCCAGTGCTTTCACTAAATCGGCACGTGAATTGATTGTTGATTCTAATCCTTTTTCAGCGCTTTTAACGAAGTCTAGCCACGATAATGGATCGCCAGTGTCAAGGTCAAATAACCATTGCTGCTGGAACCTAGGGACCTCCTTCTCTATCGTATGAACAGCTAGCATCACCCTCCTGTGGATGGATTCCATGGACAACGGCGCTAGATCCGTTGACCTTGACATTGTAGTTCTACAATAAACAGTTTAGACATATTTATGCATTTCATGAAGAACATGTCATTTATTAATCTGCATGTAATAAATTCAAACACAAAAACGGGATACAATTATCATTCATTAATTCATTTTATACACATTAAGCCATGTTTCTTTCCTTAAGAAACCTTCATTTTAATCTTGATTTACCTACGTGTTCTCGTCTGCGTAATATAAAGCCAAATAACTGTCAATGAAAAACATGATACCGAAATAACCCAGGTTGTTTAAGAACTGAGGGTCGGGAACGCAATTAGTTCAATATTTCTTGCATCATGTTAAATCCATCATTCATTCATCGTTTCAGCCTGAGTCATGACTATAGTATGTCCAAATGTAATTTCTTTCCATAGATTACATTACATAGAGAGCTAGGTGTATTATGCGACATTTTAAGGTAGTCCCGTATGTTTAGAAGTTTTTAATGGCTTCCTAATTGGAGTCCCGTGTTGTTTTCAGTAACATATAACTCGTTCCATATCCAGTCTACATCGTTCAGTTGTATGCAAATTTAGTGACCTACTTTTTAAAAGTACAGAAAATGTAGGTCACTGAATTTTCTCAATTTTTACTAAACCAGGAATATTTATCCACAGGCAATTAATAATCTAATCAAATTCATGCACAATTTGTTCGAAACTGAAAGATGAAGAAAATGTAAAGAATGAATTGCGTGTATTTGATAAAAGGACCATGGAACTCCAATTATGAAAAGTCAATTAATTAACAATAATACGTGGACGAGAATCTATTAGACAGTACAAAATAGTATAATACAAAATATGTGGTATATGGCTTTCTATAATGAATTCTAAAGCCGTAATCATCCTACTCTGTCTTAATTATTTCTACATACCTTGATGTTAGTCCTGGATTACCACATAACATGAATTACCACATTGCTTGTTACATAAATTACCACATTTTCACGTCGTTTCTATTCAGTGAAATCCAGCGACGTATTTAAGTTTGGAATGTTACGCACTTTTAAATTGAGTATTTTCTCAATTTAATATCCTTTAAACATGTTAAATATTAGTCTAATTCTGCTTCATCGTTGATATCCCAATCTAATCCAATTTAATTAGCGAATACAAGTTTTATATAATATCAGTGTATCTAACCTGGGATTGCGTTATAACTGCTTATAGCAAGTGTCCCCCTCTAAACGTGTTTATATATCTAAACCATAGCGATAGACACCGAGCTAGAACACCTTTCAATAGTACAACTCTCAAATTTCAAACGCAATGGACCTATACAAATATGCACTCAAAAGGAGTAACAACGCAGTTCAAATAATGCCTATAGAAAATTTAATGGAGAACGTTTGTTAATATTCTAAACAAATCTGTCTAAATTTGAATGTAATCCTTTGAATTCAATGTTTGTTGGTTCACATCATGTTAAAAGCAACATTCTTTGTCCTCCTATAAAGGTAACTATTTATAGAATGACAAAAAAGTATAAATAAAAGGTATACAACAGTTTAGCTTGATTTTTTAGCTTTTAAAGTTTTAAAGGTGATGTACTAGTACCCTGCGCGCAAAAAGGCATGTAACGTTTATCATTTTAAGAAGATATGGCATTCTTTATTTCAAATAATTATACTTATTCGTCTTTAAGAAATAAATGAATATGGCAGTTGATAATATTAACCATAAAATTTAACTTTTTTCTACATTAATTGTACCTTCTCAACATAGTTTCCATAACACTAACGGACGGGGGGGGGGTCATTCAAAACTCTCGAGGGAGGTTATTAAAATCTAAAAAGTAGGTAAAATTAGGTCAAAGGTAACGAGGGGAGGAGATATGTTGTGTTGTTTTTACTTTTTTTTAATAAAAAACATTTAACATTTTGTAAGGCATAAAGGATGATAAATGTGATAGATGTATGTAAGATCTACCGTTTGAGAACACATAACATAAGCTAAATACCTTAACTAGATCCTGAGATAGGTAATTTAGTCTAAAAATGAAATATTGAAAAATGGGGGAGGAGAGGCAAAACACAGTCTAAGACCTAAAATACTGTCGATAATAATTTTGCAAAATGAACATCCTAGAAAATACCCCAGAATACAGTTAAAAATTCTGGGAGAAAAAACCTTTAAGTGCATCTTGGCCAGCGAACTCGCAAATGGCAGCGCATCAGAAATTAGCATATCTGAGCCTAAAGTTGAAATATTGACCAATTTTCATGATCTATTTTGCTTAAAGATGCTGGATGCTCTGTATACAGGGTGTTCCAAAAGTAACAGGACTGATGCTGGCATTTTGTTAAATATGCACCAATCGTCTTCAAAATTTTACATAATGCACTTTCATGTATCGTTACTAAAATTGCAAAGTTTCGACAAAAAATATGAAACTCGCGTAGAGTTATGGTTGCTATGGTAACATGACATCACAATACCCGGGGCAACATTCCACGCAGAAAGTTACTGAGGCATTAAGCATTTTGTACATCCCATATCAAAGTTGAAATGCAACAACTGGTGGGAATCACATTTGCTTTACATCATTTGATATTCCTATGTATCCTCTACTTTGAAAAATGGCTCCTCTTTGATCAGTAGAAGATTAGCACTCTGTATCCATGACTCAAACACATGAGTGGATCCATTTGAGGATGAAGACATGCCAGGCAGGGTCGATTGAACAACTTGGAGAAGGTCATTCTCATCTTTAAAGATCTTACAGGACTGATTAGCATTCCATTCTCCATATAACTAAAAATTAGATGTTGCATGATCAGAAGAGTATGGTGCATGGTTTTAGAACTCAATACCTAGCTCCTCTATAGATGCATGGTCTTTAATGTTGACCTGGGGGCAGGCACATTATCAAGGTGGATGACTGGCTTTTGGGTCTTTTCAAAAACTCAACTGTGAATTGTTCAGACTGTTATTCATAGTGATATTCCAGGAAATTGAATAAATATTATTGTTATTATGAAATTATATTTGAACCTCAGTTGTATAGCAACACCTTTACAACAAAGCAACTCATAAAATAAACAAGAAATGTTGTATTATAATAAGGAAATTAGATACTTTCTTCAGTAATACAAAAATGTTAGATATCACATTTTCAGGAAAAAGTTGCCCCGGGTATTGTGATGTCATGTTACTATAGTAACCATAACTCAACCCGCATTTCATCATTTTTTCTGAAACTATACAATTTTAGTTGCAATACTTCAAAGTACAATTTGTGAAAATTTGAAGACACTCGATGCAAAATTGACAAAATGCCAGGATCAGTCCTGTTACTTTTGGAACACCCTGTATACTCGTACATATATAAGGGTTGTGTACTGGGAGGTTTTGGATATAGGGTATATCCTGAGGGATAAACCCTATATTCAAAACCGACTCAATGTATCCAAAACCACTCAAGTATGAGATACATCAACATATTACATATAATTCGCTAATTTACGGAAAATATTTCAAAATAATTATTGATTTCTACAAAACTATCAAAGACATGGTAATATTGTTTTACATACACCTGACAATTATGTTCAGGATCTCTCAAAAAAGTTTGGACCACCAGTTTTTGAAAAAAAATATTAAAATTTTACTAAATTATTTGGATCAAAACGCGAGTCGCGGACAGTTGTGCGCCGCAATATGATATTGAAAACGTGGTATCTCAGTCAATAAAAGTCAACTTACTTTGTAATATGGCTTGTTTGAAAGCTTATTCACTATACTATATGGTCTATACTCGAAGGAAAGTAAATGAAACCAGCTTATATGATGAAATAGAAATGATGTGATTTTCAAGCAATTTTGGGAATGAAAACCCAATTTCTCACCATCCTAACTCAGCAACTATAATAGCCTCGATTACATTGATTTTTGCACCAAGTGTGGACTTTCATCTGAGGCTATACCTACTAAGACCCCCCTCCCCTTGCATCGCATTAGGGTTAATTAAGAATTGAATATATTTGACAATACTTACAATAACATTTAAGTATTTTTCATTAAATATACTTTTTTCAAGCATATACTTACACACGTCTATAAGAACTAAATGTACATGGTAGTTAATACTAATATCGACACATTTAAATCTTTTTCTACATTAGTATACTTTTTTCCGAGCAAATATCTATACATAAACACGTCTTTAAGAACTGCTTAATGCTGTGCGTTTGAAAACTTGGTTAAGGCCATGCACACATTATCATCAGAGGCAATCTGTGAAATCACTAGGAGCAAAAATTCATATGGAGAAAATGATGTAGGCCCTTTTTTAAAACATGCGTCCCAAAAATAACTGTAGCCCATTTTCTTTAGAATTTGGCTCTAAATCAAAAATGAATGCAAAGTTATGTCAGTTTGATATAACTATTACTACTGTTATAAAGTCTATGTATATTGCAGTAGGGAGGAGCAACATTTTTGGGCACCACACTGTTGGGTTCATCCAAAGGGGATGGTCCGCCGTTGATCATCGACTTTGTATCGATTTTCCTGTGCTCGTCAAGCGTGGCTAACATGAATCAAGGGGGTATTTTGTGATTGTATTAAACTTTACAACGTAATTGAGATACACGTTGTTAAAGCTCTTAACCAGATTTTTGTAAAATTTTGATTACAGATTAAAATCCACACGCATGAATGTGAAGGCCTGGGAACCGGCCAAAGAATGAAATACAAAATTTAAATATCTAATATATAACATTAATATATCGTTTATATAAAATGTTCAATTATACAATTACAATACTTTATACATACTTTAGACATGGCCAGTAACTGAAAACGAAATGAAAGCGTGATTTTAAAAGTTTAATTATTGCATTTCTAGCCTTCTAGCCTTCGTTAAAATTCGCCTTATGTAACATGAATAACTTTTTGTTTCGGTTAACTGCTCCTAAGCCTTTAGGCTTAAAATACCTGAAGGGTTTGAAGCCAAGGGTACGAATATGTTATAAATGTGAACGTGGGGAAATCACAAAAACTAAGAATATGTATCGGCTTTAAATGTTTTTATTCTCCAACGTCACTAAGGACTAAAAACACTCCTTTATCATAACATACATGTACAACCTCTGCTTATGCAGGTATCGTCTCAAAATTCATTCAGAATTTGAAAATACATGTGATCTGGAAACTAAACATGGCCGCCCAACACTGTACAAAAAGACCTTTACATGTATGCTATTCCCGGGAAACATTTCCCACACTATCACATTTGCCCCCCTTTTACTTATGAATCGTCCCGATATCATTGACTTAACTTTTACCAACTTGACTTACAGTGACTTAACATCTACCAAACTGAGTTCAGAACTAACTTTACACTACTACTTAAGTTTTACTTAAGTGTAACTTTACACTATTAACTATGTTAGTTTAGTAATTGCTGCGCAATAATTCTCAAAGATGTTGCATTGTCTAGTGAAACCATCTTTTAACACACTCAACTTATCTTGAGGCTCAAGTACTTGCAACTTATTGCAGCAACTTCTTGGCAAGTTATGTGGATTTTTATGTCTCCCTTTATTTGGCCTCTTGCTTCGTCTAAGACTGACTACTGATACATCTGAAGAAGAGGATGATGATGGATCATCTTCATCTTCTACATTAAGTGTTTTGTCAATGATTGGTCTGTGAATCCTTTGTTGTTCACTTTTGAAATCTTCACTTGTTCCTGCACTATCAGAATCCGTAATGGGCTGAATCCCAAATAATGAATCACTAGAAGTCTCATCTGACCCCACAGAGTCTACTTGTCCCTCATGTGAGTCTAGAGCATTATCAGACTTCACAGCTTCTACTGGTTCTTGCAAGTGCTGTTTGCATAACAGATTACTTCTGTTGACTGTTTGTGTTTTTCCACCATCGACTGGCGTTATTTCGTAAACATTGCTATCAGGGTTAATCCTCCTAATAATCTTGTAAGGAAGGGGATTCCACATGTCTTTCACTTTGTGCCTCTCTCTAAATCTATTCTTGAGGAACACAGTACTCCCAACGGGTATATCTTCATCTGTGGCACATTTATTGAATCGCTCTTGTCGTTTATGGGCTTCATTCTTCAGATTAAGATTGACCACCTTAAAGACAGTAAAGAGTTTCTCTTGCTGTTCACTTACCCATTCAGTCAAAGGCATAGTATCCTCCTGTTTGTGGAATAA